CATAATATTAGCTGTGTGGAGCCGGTGACCAAACTGTGTTGTTAAGCTCTAATTAATCCTCCACAACAATTCTACAGGCTAGTATTTCTAATTTCTTTCCTTTCTAGTTATTCCACCATAGTAACTGTATGCATTTTTTAAAACATAAAATTCGAAGGTGAATTTAGAACAAATATAAAAGGCAGAGATAGGCACTGGATCCTAGAGCTCATGTACTCTTCAAATCCTGTAAGATCTTTAATTATTTTTCCGACACAGTGAACACATCCTCACTTCAACGCAAATGTGCTCAGTTGGAGAATTTTAACATATGTAGCTGGCGTTTGACATGCACATGGTTGCATATATTTACAAACCAATTAGGTCTTAGTGAATAATGTCAATACTCAGACCAGCAGCACGATGGATTAAACAAGGAAAGCAAAGTGCAGAAACGCTGCTTAAGCAAGAACGAGAGTCTGCAGTGTTGAGTCGTTAACCTCAAACTTCAATTACTACACAACTCTGTGTGTGTGCCTAGCATTTAGGACTGGAATACGTGAATATGAAACATTTGTATTGCTTTCTGAAGCTGAGTTAGTAAATTAGTAGTAAAAAATGTCTAAGATGAGAAAAAAATGTATTTATAAGTGACTGACTTATTTTAAGGCACAAGTCACTGCCACTACAGCTTGGGAAGTTGATTCTGTAAATTGTCCTAGCAGAGATTAATGAAAAAATGCTCGAGGGAGAAAAGTTTACTTTGAGTAAATGCCCTAAGTGGACTGCCTGTTGTAAACCTGATTGCCTTTAGACCTTGTTCGTAATATGGCTCAGGCATTGAAATCCTACAGCAAACCTAGTGCAATATATTGTAGTTTGATTTTTTTTTATTTTCAACTGAGCATTAAAGGTACAACATCATTTTCAAGTGTTTGCCAGACTCAATCTTACAGCAACACTGTGGGTACCTTGATCAATGGCTATTTTACATTCAGAGAAGAGAAATATAAGTTTTTGCTCAGTGTTCAAAACATGCCTCATGTTTCTGTCTTTCTAAACGGCAGCAGTGCTTTACAGTGCAATTTCAAGGTCCATAGCAAATAAATAAGAATTTAAAAAGATATTTATGTGCCCCCGGGAGAAACTATTAAGTAAGCATTTTCTTTCTGTAAAGTGTTGCGTAATGTGAGGGGATGAGGGGAAGAAAAGAGAGGAGAGGCTTAGGTAAAAAGCAGCAGGAAGGGAAGAGGGTGCAGAAAGAGAGGGTGGAAGTGTGGGTTATTTTCTAGTTCAGGAACGAACTGAAAAGTGCAGCAAATAATCATTCCTCTTTTTCTGGTGTATACTGGCACAAAACTCAGCACCACATTTTTCCAATCAAGATGTCATTGTGTTTGCCCTTGATCACTTAAATTTTCTGGAAGACGTGTTTGATAAAAGTATTTTCTCTTCAGGAGTGCTTGCAATACAGGCTAAACCACAGCCTATTCTGTGTTAGAAATTCATAGAAAATAATACATAGAAAAATGTATTATCAAAAAAAGCCAGTTAACTTATCTGGGTATTTCATTTGGATGGCCTTCTGTACGTATCATCCAGAAAGTCCGAAATTTACCTCTGCTTTGAATGAAATCAAACTTTAGTTTAAATTGAAGGAATATTTTGTTTCAAATTACTAAGTAGCATTGATGAACAGATACACAGATATGTGCACTAAAACCAAACCAAATAATTTGTAAACTTTCTTAAATCATTAGTGCACCTGATTGTAGCCATTAATCCATATACATGTATCTTTTGGATACATACATTTGCAAATTGAAAAAAATGTATTAATTCCTCTTCACCAGTTGGAATTTTGCATTCTGATTGAATAGAAAGAATGTTAAATAAGTTAAAATAACAATAGTTATCACATTGGCTAATGTGGTTTTCTCTCTCATTATGGCTGAGTGAAGTAGTACCAGTCACAGAAAGACTGCCTTTGAATATTTTTCCAAAGTACTGGTGAGGAAAAGCTAAAAGCAATTTCTTTGTGAATTCCCACTGCATGCTAAATCACTTAAGGACCAATGATTAGTGGTGGCTTTGTCCCCCAGGATAATTTATGTTTGTTTTTTCTCCTACCAATTCACTTAATAAATATAATGGGCCATGAAACGAAGGTGAAAGGTATTTCTGATCTTGTTTACAATACTGCGAGTATGATCATGCATTTAACATTTTGCAGTCTCCAACAGCCAGAGTGGCCATTAACATGACAGACCATAAGGCTGACATGTGGTGATAATAAATGTCTTGATTGTTTAAAGTGGATATTTTCTCTTATCAATGTTTTTAAGTACAGAGAGTTCAGTTGCTTTCAGGAAATGGTAGGTAAAACCATAAGAACAAGTAGATTATTATTATTCCTTATACTTTTATAGCGCTTTACTGGACACTCCACTCAAAGCACTTTACAGGTAATGGGGAATCCCCTCTACCACCACCAATGTGCAGCGTCCACCTGGACAGCCATAGTGCGCCAGAACGCTCACCACACATCAGCTATCAGTGGGGAGGAGAACAGAGTAATGAAGCCAATTCATAGATGGAGATTATTAGAAGGCCATGATTGGTAAGGGTAAACCCCTACTTTTTTTTAGGAACGCCCTGGGATTTTTAATGATCACAGAGAGCCAGGACCTCGGTTTTACATTTCATATGTAGGGCAGCACCTTTTTGCAGTATATTGTCCCTGTCACTATACTGGGGCATTAGGACCCATATAGACTGCAGGATGAGCGCCCCCTGATGGCCCCACTAACACTCCTTCCAGCAGCAACCTTAGTTTTTCCCCAGGAGGTCTCCCATTCAGGTACTGACCCGGCTCACGCCTGCTTAGCTTAAGTGGGTTGCCAGTTGTGAGTTGCAAGGTGATATTTCTTCTGGCACAAGGCATGTACAGATTGCTCTAATATCAGCTAATATAATGGCTGCCAAGCCTATTGTTGTTTGGTTCAGCAAATGCTGCCAAAAGAGATGTCCTTCCAACACATGTTTCTTTTGGTGTGTTTCTCCATTGATTCTAAAGAAATCCATTAGGTTGACTTTGTCTATGCCTTAGATGATTTTGAATACTTGAATCAGGTCCCCTGATATATTATCATTATTTCCTTATACTTTTATTGCCCTTTTCTAGACACTCCACTCAAAGTGCTTTACAAGTAATCCATCACCAATGTGCAGCACCCCCCTGAATGATGCAACAGCAGCCATAGTGCACCTCTATGCTCACCAAACATCACCAATCAGTAGGGAGGAGAACAGAGTGATGAAGCTAATTCATAGATGGGGGGGTATTAGGAGAACATGATTGGTAAAGGCCAATGGGAAGTTTTTGTCTAGGACCCCCATTCTTTTCAAGAAACACCATGAGATTGTTAATGACCATGAAGAGTCAAGACTTTGGTTTCACACCATCTGCAGGACAGAACCATGTTACAGTATAGTGTTCCTGTCACTATACTAGTACATTAACACACACAGTGAGCGCCCCATACTGGCCCCATTAACAACTCTTCCAGCAGCAATCTTAGCTTTCCCAGGAGGTCTCCCATCCAGGTACCAGCCAGGCTCACTAAGAGCTTAGTGTGAGTGGGTTGCCAGTTGTGAGTTGCAGAGTGATACTTCTCAGTTTAAGAATAAAACGATTAATTTCTTTTAGTCTATTATTGTAGGGCATTTCTTAGAGTTTATGAACAATTCTGGTCATTTTTATCTGGAATTGAATTACCAAGCAAAAAACCCATAAAGAGATCAGTCTGTCAATAACAGTAGTTAGGCTTCTGGACTTACTGTATAATGGGAGGAGTGTAGTTCAAATCTAGCTGAAACACTACTGCTGTACCCTTGAATAAGGTAAAGTACTTAACTTGAATTGTTCCAGTAAAATACCTGGCTGTATAGATGGATGCAAATGTGAGACACTTTTTGAAAAAGCCAAATTTGTAATACCTTTACCTGAGGCCAAATGTTCAAATCCATTAATTCCTGTTTTTCTAGCGTCTCCTGTTAAGGATTTTAATTTTTTTGTTTTCCATGAATTGTGTGGAAGGAGTGCCAAAGGGAATTAGGGCATGTACACATTTCAGTGTCTTTTTATCTCTGATTTTCTTTTCTTTTTTAGAACCATGGTAATTGATTTGGTCCTCCATAGGAGAGATCATGACTCACTTGATGATCCAGTTAGTTTCTAAACTAATTCAGAAGCCTTAATACTGCCTATACACACCACCACAGCACCCTGAGTTTATAATATCATTCAGAATTAAAACAGCCCACTAAATACATTTAAAAACAGAAATAAAGAAAGAAACACATACATTCTCTTCAAGTGGAAGAAGATAAGTGCAATGATATACAGTATTGGTCATGTAGTGTAAAATGGGGATTAGCTGGAGGCTAGGGGAGAGTGTTCCTCCTCTCTCTCTGTAGAAGCAGAGAAGGATTTTGCAGTGGGCCAGAAGGGCTTTGAGAAAAAGCTGACAGAGCAGGATTTATGTGGGCCAGCCAAAGCCTTAGAAGGCAAAGGATATAGCAAATTGGCCTCTTTTTATTTTCAGAGGGGCTTTTTGAAGTTTTTTCTTTCATGAAATTTTAATGAAGTTCATACTGTATGTTAAGTTTTCCTTAATGAAATATCCTTTTTTTATATTACTGTACTTAGAGTCTTTTTTCTAATTTATTTAAATACATTAAGCCATGGCTGTCCTGTTTGTGCTTTCCAAAATTGTGAGATTTAACAGAAATGCAGGATTAGATTTTACTGTAATTGCATATTTTTTAGAAATCATGGCTTGCTTGAATGGTGCATGCAAATAGCTTTGGAGCTTTACATCGAAAATAGATTTAATGCCACCCTACACAGAGCAAGAGGTGTGCTTTGGTTCCACAGGTTTTAGACACACCTTTTAATTAGGACCTAACCAAGACCTGGAAAAAACACCTGATATGAATATGATTTCCTATTCACTTACCTCAATTAAATTAACATCTGAAATGGAATTAAATCCAGAAGCAAATGCCATACTCAAAAAGCTGAGGTGTCCACCCTAGGTTTGGAGTGTCTGTGAAAAACAATAGTATATGTTTTTCAACTCACAATGTCACAGGGTTTTGGTTCAAGCAGTGTTACTCATGCATACACTATGGAACTGAAGCTTGAGTTGCAAATAAATATTCATTTTTGACTTGACTAAAAAACATGCACATACACACACAAAACATTTGTTTACCAGACTAAATCTGATGAAACTGGTAAAAATAAATACACACTGAATTACTTGAATCATATTACTTTTTCTCTCTGTATTTTTATTAATATTCTCCAGCTGCAGCCCCGTTTTTTGAATGATGGTTTAATTTAAACTACAGCATCAGAATCATTGACTTTCCAGAGTTTTAAATGACTTAGGACACAGTCTGACACAGTTACATTTATTAATAAGTTGTGAATGATTGCAGTTGCTAGACACACTGAGGCTGGCAGGCAGGATTTCTGAATTTTAAGCAAAGAATTCCATCAATGTACAGTAGTTGAGATGCACACCAACAACTTCACTCTAAAATATTGCTGATAAACATGACACTCACTCTACCTCCTGTGGTTCCTCCCCTCCAAAAATCCTGCTTATACTCTAAACATTATACTGTAACACAGATAAAATATATATTATATGTTATGGAACTATATACACTTTCTTCAGCTGTATTTGGTCATAGTGAATGGCAATTCACTAGAATACATTTTAAGTATTCTAACATTTGGGAAAAAAAGAATGAACTTACAGAAAAGTAAGTTCATTCTTTTTTCCCCAATGTTAGAATACTGAAAACTGATATGACGTTTTGTTTAGGCTTGTAACAGTAATAAACTAATTGCTCTAGTTTTTCACTAGGTACAAATTAAATTGAAGCTCAAGAAAAAATATGCTTATTGAAGACTAGGCCTCCTTATAATGCTGCCCTTCTAATCCACTCCATATCAGTACTTTAGTGTAACCAGCACCTTGGATGTTAGGTTATTCTTACTAATTGTCCATTAAAGAGCGCAGATGCTGGTTACATTAATGTTCTGCATTAAAATTGATTTGAAAGACGAAAACCTATTTCCTGCAGATCAAACTTGTTCTGGAATCTCTATATTTTGGAGAGGAACAGTAAGCTATTGTTAGCACATTAGTTTTGGCTCATGGGATGGGTGGTTTATCTTTTTTGGACCAGTTACAATATATGTTACTGGGCATCAATATTCTATAAACAGATGTTGGCTAGTGTTTTTAGTAGAGGAATTGTTAAAGAGAGGCTCTTCTGTAGTCTCCCCAAGGACCAGGGATGTGTTTCTTCAGCAGCAACTGTGAACACTTCTCAGAGATTACGCTTGGGAGGACGATAATTGAAATGTTTCATAAATTATTCAGCAGCAACAAAATTCATTATTCATTAAGTTTTACCTGCCTTCCTGAAACTTGTGTAAGAGGTTCACTTTTTACTTTTTTTACTCAGAAATTCAGTAACTTCCCGCTGAGATTTATTTAGAGTTGGACTATACTGTAAGTAATAGTCTGCAAAATGACAAACCATTATATTCTGTGTTGCTTTTCACATCTGTCCTGAGTCTTTGTTTTGAGGAAGCAGTGCAAATTCATGCAGTAGGTTATATACATTCAGCTGTTGCAGACAGTGTCCTCTAGCAATCATAAACAGGTGGAGTTTAATCAGACTTTGCTGGAAAATTACACATGCAAGAGCTGAAGGTTTCTCTCGGTATGTCTCTCTGTCTTATTGTGTGCTTGCTTCTTCCATTTTCCCCTACAGCATGCACTTAATGCAGGGTAAACTGTTACCAAGGTGAACTGCATATCAAGCCACATTCTGTTCCACATAATATTTGCTTTATTTATTTTATCTAACCAGGATTTAAAATGGTGTCTACCATGTGGTTACGATCTAATTTTAAGGTCCAATATAAAACGTGGTACCATCTACAGAAAAGCACCTCCTGTCTTCTGTTTGCTTAAGTGCAACCTAGCTTTGCTTTGTGATTTGACAAAATCAGGCTTCAATTTGCTCACACCTGAAGAAGGCTCCACGCCCGAAACGTTCTGTTTTCTTTCTTCTTTTTTTCAGCAAGGAATAAACCTTTTACTTCTTCCTTTGCAGCCTATGCATGCTGATGCAGCTACCTACCTGAACTTCTTCAATTTGGTATACCTACTGAAAATATCAATATCAATCTTATTTTACATACCATTTAATCTAAACTTGGAAAGTGTCCTTGGTACTTTTTAAAGTAATTGAAGGAAACAGATTGTGCACTGAGGATAACAACCCTTTAACAAAGAAGAGAATGGACAGTGCAAAGCCTTATTTAAAGTTAGGAGAACATTTAAGATTCAAATATAGGACAGTGTCCTAACACAGGTTTTAGGATTTACATCTTACTCAAGGAGGTTGTGTAGTTCAAGGTTTTCTTTTAGTCCAGGGGCACAGCACTTGTCTTTTAAATATGAAGATGAATTGACTGATTTCAAATTAAAGAGCTCTTCAGAGGATTCAGAATGAAGCAGTTAGCAGCCTAAAAATAATTCAGTTGATTTGCATCTCAAATAAAATGAACTGTACTCAGTGCACTTATGAGCTTCCAATGATAATTAACTAGTATACTAACTAATATTAAGCCAATACTAATTAACCATTTTCAAAAAAATATTTTAAGAACTTAATTTTCCTCATTGATAACTTGTTTTGAAACATTTTTCATTCACTGGCATTAACTTGTGTTAATTTCTTTTGAATTATCTGGTTGTCAGAAGACCAACAATTGAATTCTTTTTGACCTCCTTTTGAAAATATGTTTACTCTTAGATGGTTCCCACACAGCATGAGTTAAATAAAGTAGTAGTGAAAAGCTTGGAGCACTGAACCAGAAAGCAAAGGAGACATTAAAGGCTGTAATGCAAATTGAAATTAATGGTGATTCTGTGCAAGGAGGGTGTTAGTTGCCAAATTCCCAAAGCTCATAGAACCGGATCCATTTTACTGCTAGCCAGAAGCATGCTGTGGAGACTGTCCTGCCTGTCTGATTAGCAGCTGGCTCTGGCTGAACGAACAGACCAGTGTGTTCTGTACCCCTTTGTTCCCTGCTAGCAAACCTGTTCTTTTCCATTCCTGTTGTCTACAAGAAAAACAAATAAGAAGAACAATGTTCAGTGTCTCACTTTGTTTGACCTTTTCAGTTTGGGTATACAGTAGGTATAGCCACCAAAATTATGGGTGGAAATGTACTCCTCATTTCCCCCTTAGTTTTCTGTTTTACTGTAAATGTGTCCATTTTTATGCAGCCTACAATTATATTTGAAACTTTTTTGTGTGTGCATATATATCAGACAATCTGTAATTCTTGATAAAATTATAATTCCAAAACAAAATAGAAAACTAAATCTTATCAGCTATAATAAAGACATGCATTTGAATGACAGAATAAGTTGAATATTCTTAATCTTTAGTAAACATAAGGTGTGCTCTTCAAATGTCCTTCGATTTATATTGCATCAATGTATCTTGCACTTATTTAAATCAGATTACTTTGACCTATGACAATTTTTGTTACAGAATAGTGTTTAATAATGGATGTCCCAGTTCTAGATAGATATTTTTTTAGACAGCAGCATTTTATTTTTGACATTAAGGGGATTTAGGATAAGCAACAATGGTACAATAAGCCTTAAAAAAATAATTACTACTAGTACTGCTACTGCTAGAACTAAAATTTATGTTATTGATTGCTTTACTTTGTGAACTGAAAATTACAGTGTTCTTTTAATATCACCATTTGGAAACCAACTCTTCCAACTCTGCCTCGCCTGCTGGTCCCAGGACCGCACCTAGTTTCTAATTTTATCTCTAAAGTGTGCCACCTCTCCAGTGTGTTGGGGTTTCACTCCAGGAGGAGCAGCGTATATGGGACACTGTAGCCTACATCTATTGCCTCGGCTTTATCTTATCAGAATTCCAACACCACTGTCAGGAATATGGAAGGGTAACCCTTGTAACAAAGCATATTTAATTTAGAGCAATAGCAACATCAAATGAAAAGCTGCATCCAGGCAATCACAACAGGCAATAAAGTGGCCTTGGGAGGCAGCAGCAGAGACAGATTAGTGGCTGTCTGGCATTTAAATACAGAGCTGTACGTTATCAGCCAGCCAGCAAGATGGACTGCAATCCATTTTCCCCAGGGAGCCAGGTTGGTTAAAGTATTAGAGATTTAACATTGTTTTCTGGGGAGTAAATTAAATTATAAAAGGTGGTCTGGGATGTCTAGACCTCTACACACTCCCAGGAAACAAAATAGACTTTAATACCAGCGCAGAGAAATCCAATACTCTCGGCAGGAATTAATAACTTCTTGATGCCACAAACACAGCAAGCTTTTCCATTGAGTCCAAGTGAGGATGCAATGGTTTGAATCCACTCTAAATCATGACAGTATAAGGGATAACTGCATATTGAAAAGTCATAAATCTTTTAGCTCTGCTGCAAAACCAGCAGGAATTTATGCTTGGAGAGAGGAGCATTCTTGGAGCAGTTTGCTTCCAAATTGTTTTCTTCTCTTCCTTTTTCTTTTTAGTAAGTCTGTATTTTTTTAATGATCTGAATGATCTTTTTCTGATGTTTTTCCTACACACTTTGAAAAGTATGCTGGTTTCTGAGAGTCTTCTGATTCATTTCAGTACTGCCTCTCTTAAAGCAACATCCTTTTATTTTGTACATACACTGACAGTAGCTGAAAGTATCTGATAAAATTATACAGTAAGTATACAAGGTAAGGTTTGTACAGAAGTGTAGGTTATTACCCAATCAGTCAGCAAGATGGACAACAAGCCTGCTTTTTTATGCAGTTTCTCAGGAGTGGCCTGTGTGACGTCTTCATGCAACCAGAGAGAGTTTAGGGAAGTGATAAGATAAAGATAGATAAGAGAAGATCACTTTATTGGCCATATACAATTTCTAGTATTAGGAATTTGCCTTTTCGCATACCCCAACTTGCTCTC